TGTGAGACATTATGCATCGTGTCCAATACGCTTCGGGTATAGGATCGATTGCATATGCTGTAATATTTGACCATTCTAAAATTTTCCAAATGCCTAGGGCATTAAGAGGGAAAAAGGACTAGAATCGGTTTTGACTAAAATAATTAAACAACTATCAAAGGACGATCTGAGGTTCACTGAGGATTTGTCGCTTGTGAGTAGTTGGAAGTATAGTACTGGATGGACTATATTGACATTATTATGAATAGATAAGATTCTATTAAGAATGAGTTGTCATATGGCAAATATGGAAATGTTTCCATTAATGGGAGTTGGAAATTAAGAATTTATGTCTAGATTAGAATATTTTATGCGAGAAGGATGTTCAAAGGAATGTACTTTGAATGTGAGACTTCACGTCTATGGAACTGCCTTGTAACAATTTCCGATAGAATACCTTGTAATTTCATTAGCCGGGTCTTGGTGACTTTTGTGCTATGACATTACGAAAGAATCATTGCATAAAATGTTAGAATCTGATATATTCTAAAAGTGGCGAGAACCTTGTGTTCTTACACTAACGATGAGGATTAGGAATTGTGAAATGAGCATCATTGGAAAAGTTTTCAATTGATCTATTTCACAAAGCATGGAGCATAGGAAACAAAGTGTGCATGCTTGGAGCATGGGACAATTATTGTTGTAATTCTAGTAATAAGTTGATTTTCTGAAACAATGAGCAATGAATAATGAGTAATCAATATGGTGTTTAAATAAAAGTGTTTTATTTACGCTCAAAAGTTTTGGGGCCATATAGGATTAATATTATTATTGCGTTTCACTTTGCATGTTTTGACTTCCAGAATAACTGGGTTATTCGAACCTCCACAGTCGGTCATACGTTGGAAGTAGGTATGAAGGAAGACTGTCATGAATCTGTCTGCAGATTGTCTAAAGTGTTTAGACATAGCACAAGTTTGCTGCAGAGTTCATGAGTGCTTTGGTAAGATTGAAGTATTGGATTAAACCCACGCTCACTTGAATCACTTCATGGATTTATCACGGGTGATTAGTGAGACGATAACATTGTATATTCTTGAAACCGAGACGTGTGAGTTGTTATTTGCTGGTCAGTTGCACATTGATGATAAGTAAACGCACCAGTAACTTGGTGTTATAAAACTTATTGTTGTGTGTGATTCGATTAGTAGGTGCAAGCAAGCATTTGAGTCGAAGTTTATCCATTCCTTTTACCCAAAGTGGGATAAAAGCGATATCTGTGGGCCCCTCGATGATTTAGTGATGACACCTAAGCGCTTGGCCAAGCCGGGACTAAGTTGATGTGTTCAATTGTAGTCTATTGTCAGTCGTCATGAATCAGAAGTCGGGAAACAATACATAGACAGAGAGAATGATTTAAATCCATGTCTCGTGTCTATACGATATCTTGAGAATGGAGGAATATACGATCCCTTATCTAAAGGACAAGTTATTGATCAGAGTTGACAGCGGCTTTTGAAAGCTATGATTGCTGATCAGGTTCTGAAGTCATACGCAGAATAATTATTAGACTTATCCAAGTGGGAGACTGTTGCATTAGTGTCTAAGTCCACAACTATTTTGGTATGTACTTGACCCGATTGTGAGCATGGTCCTTTTGGGTTGCCTTCACACGGGTGACTAGACAGGATGACAGTTGAGGAGAGAGGTTGATTAGGGCATAAATATGATTTATTTATTATATTATATGATTAATATAATAATTTGGAATCATATTATTAATTAGTATTTAATCAGAAATTAATTAGGAATTAATTTCGGGATTAAAGGAATTAATTAAAAGTACATGGGCTGTTTTGTAATTATTTGATAGTTGAGACTTTGGGCTATTGGATCACCTTTATTAAGGCTTGAACGAAAATCCTAGAAGGATCTAGGAGTTTTCCTCCAAGGGCTTAAGGAAAGGAGTCCATGGACTTGCTTAGGCCTTAAGCTAAGGGATTAGGGTTTCCACCTTGAAACCCTAGCTAGCCTCAAGTATAAATAGCACCCTAAGGCACTAGAATTCGACCACTCCTTGGGAAAACCCTACTAGGGACGAATTTTGGAGCTTAGTACTTTTCCTCCTCTCTCTTATATTCATCCTCTCACCCAAAGTGTGTTTGTGAGCCATTAGAGGTACTACACTTGTGGTACTTGCTTTCAAGAGCTAAGGAAACTCAAGGAATTAGTTGTTATTACTATATAACAACAAAAGGTATGTATTCTTTTCTCCTATGTGAATTTCGAAATTACTAGGAGCATGCTAGGTTTCCTTATGTGTTCATAATGTTGTATAACTAATAGTGATAACATAGATCCAACTCTAGGGTTGCATGCACACATAGGATTGTTTGTATAAAACCCATCATTTATGTGTACATGTTTTTTTACAACCTCACGCTGAGTGAACCAAGTTGTCTCTAAAACCTGCTCTATGTTTGTTCATGGGATATGGTATTGGTCAAAAAGGATATCGATATTACGACCCGACAAGTCAAAAATTGTATATTTCTCGACATGTCACCTTTTTAGAACACGTTCCTTTCCATAGAATTACTTTCCAGTCACACAACATAACTTAGTCGGAAGTTCAGGCTATTAATCCATTTGGCTTTTACAATGATGACGTTTCTTCTAATGCTTCCACTATTTCAGATAGCCTTCCAACTTCTTATCCCACACCCGTTGTTGTTCAGAAACCCCTACTTGCTTAGGATCCCCATCATGCTCAAGACCCCCCACCATCAAGACGTACTCGTACTTGAAAGTCCACCAATCTTATAGAATTTGTATATTCCTTTTACTCGAAAACCTTTTCCTCCTTTATTGGGACTATACCTCGTCTCTATAAACCAACATCCTATAAAGACGCCATCTCTGACCCTCTTTGGCAAAACACTATGGTTGAGGAACTTACAACTGTTTATCAAACTCATATATTGGATTTGGTTCCGCTCTCACCTGCAAAATACATAATTGGTCGTCGTTGAGTATATAAGATCAAAACCAAGTCTGATGCGTCTATCCAACGTTATAATGGCAGAATTGTTGCAAAAGGACACTTGTAAGAATATGGTGTGGATTATGAAGAGACTTTTGATCCAGATGCAAAAATGATAACTCTCTACACTCTAATTGTTGTTTCTTTTATTCGATAGTGGAAGATTTATTAGATGGATGTCAAGAATGCATTTTTAAATAGTGATCTTATTCAAGAGGTATACATGTCTCCTCCACAAGGTATTACTCACCGTCCAGGTGAAGTTTGTCGGCTTCAGAAAGCATTGTATGGTTTAAAAACAAGCCCTCGTGCTTGGTTTGAGAAATTTTCTATAGTAATTACTTCCCTTGGTTTTCAATCTAGTTGTCATGATGTTGCTTTGTTTCTTAGATGTATAAGTGCATGTCTGATCCTTCTTTCCTCATATGTTGATGATATGATTATAATTACTAGCGATAATCATGATGGTATAGAGTCCTTGAAAGTGTGATTTGGCTAACTGTTTTGCTATGAAAGACTTGAGCTTACTGAGTTATGTCTTGGTGATTGAAGTTGCACAATCTCCGAAAGGTTATCTTTTATCTCAGATGAAGTATATCTCAGATTTTTTTGAACGCATACGACTTTCGGATATCAGAACAATCAATACCCGTCTAAAGTGTAATGCCAAGTATTCTCCAACTAACGATTTTCATTTGTCATATCCGAGGCTTTATCATACCATTGTGGGGATTTTGGTGTATCTTACCATCACTAGGCCATATATTGTTCATGCAGTTCATATGGTTAACTAATTTTTCACTACTCATTCCACAATTCATTGGGGAGTTATTCTTCGTATTTTGAGATATCTTCTGGTACTCAGTTTCACAATGTGGTGTTTTTTTCCACTTCATATCTTGAGTTGCATGCCTATAGTAATGCTGAATGGGATAACCATGTTTATGATCGCAAGTTTACTACTTGGTATTGTATCTTTCTTGGAGATTCGTTGATTTCATGGAATTGTAAGAAACAAGATGTCGTGTCTCGATCATATACAAAATCTGAGTATCTAGCTATGGTTGTTGCTACTTGCGAGATTGTGTGGTTGCGATGGTTTCTTGCAGACATGGGTGTCCATATTTCTCAGCCAACCCTTTGCAATGTGACTACAAGAGTGCGGTAATGATTGCTTAGAATTCGGTGTTTCATGAGCGTACAAAACATATTGTGAAATATTTCAATTTCACTCGTCACCACTTTCAGCATGGGACTAGTTCTCTTCCTCATGTTCCATCCATAATACATATTGCTGATATATTTACAAAAGTCTTGACTGCTCATTGGTTTGATTTTATGTTTGACAAACTCTCAGTGTTTATTGTTGTCGTATTATGAGTTTGAAGAACCTAATAATTCTATTAGGCCCTTTTCTGGTTTGTGCCCATTGTTTGCCCTTTTAGTTCTATAGCTAGGTTTAACCTAATTAACTTTCCTATTTATATCGTATTTTCATTTCATTGTAATTCGACTATTTATTTAAATAAATAAACTCTAATAATATTTTGTTCATTAGTTTACATTGATTTTGTATATTTACAATCAATTTATAATCATTTGTTTAATTAGTCTATATTTAATATATTTTATAGAATCTTGTTTGAATTTAAACTTCTTGAAATCGAAGAACAATGAAGAAGATGAGAAGGTAGAAAGTAGAAACACATGAAGTAGATGGTTAAAGATGAGCCCGGAAATGGTTTGTTAAATTACAAGTTTTAGGAACCAAAAGTGCAACAAAACTTTGTTTAGGGTCACCCCTGCAAAATATCATACATATGTACGGAATCAGAACTTTTCAAACAATACACGGAGAAAATTTTAAATTTGGACAATATTTATTTTATACCAAAGACTGCGGCTACTTTTGGGTATTAATAAAAATAGTTTTACGTACTACCGGTTAAACAATTGGCTTTTAGTTTTGAAATAGAGACACTTTCCATATTTCAACGCCTCGAACTTGTATATAAATTAACATATGCGATACCCATCATACCACACGATATACAGTTATACACCCTCAATTCCATCTGAAATCAACATAACATAGAGAAAGAGAGATGTATGATGACAGTGAGAGAAAGTGTCACCCTCTGTTACAAGGTGAGAGAGATGAAGAGTACAAAAACGGAAGTTTTTCTTCAGCAGAAATGGCGACTCTAAGCAGCATATGTGACGTCATCGTGCAACCACTCCCTTTGAATTCTCTTGATGATCATGGCAACAAAGTGGAAGAAAGCATCCGTTCATTCTCCACTGCTTCTGGTTCTCAATACCCAATACCTAATAAGGTAACATCAACCTAACTCTTCAACATATCATCAAATTCGATTTCCTTTTTGTTTTTTTTAATTTCATTAAATTGATCAAAGTGATGGAATTGGAAACAGGTAGTTCATCTTCTAAAGACGAGGGCGTTTCTTGAAGCAGTGATGGTGGTGAAATTGGTCTTAACACTTCTTTCCACAAGACTGGGTACCCTTTTACTTTCTGGAACTCTTTGTCTTTCTCATAAATGGCCATACGTACACAACTTCTCAGAAATTCCGCTAGATAAGAGGGAGAAGATTGTTCAGAAATGGTTTGAGCATAGGTTTCTAACGCCTATCAGACTCGGATTTGTGTTCATCAAGACACTCTGCCTTTTGGTCTTCTTCACTCAGGTGATCTCTTCTTCCTTTTTTCTGTTTGTTTAATTGTTTACTTGTTAATCCCAGATTTTAAAAGTAAATAATTATTATTGTAATCTTGCAAAACAGATACATAGTACATACTTTTAATGCAAAACAATATGAGATAAGTATGACCCACATATTTGATGGGTCATAATCAATAATTCGGAGTATGAAAAGACTATCTAAGTTGTTTTTAATTAGAGTAAGTTTTTTGCTATGAAATACGTACACAACTAATACCTTGAACAATTATGTTTTTATTTCAATACACGGTAAGAAAATTGTTAAATTTCCATACGATACTCCAAGGACCACTTTCGTTGTCATCTCGAATACCCTAAGCCTTCGAAGAGGCCTTATTAACATGTAAACGAAAATATAAAACATCATTTGATCAATATTTATATAAAATGGTTATTCTTCAAACAAGAGCTGGCCTACACCAGCTACATGTAAGAGGAAAAATTGGGTACATAATGGCCTATAATATGTATAATTAAAACACACCGTTTAAGTCTAATTTGACATGAAACAAAAATTTAGTAAAGATTTAACATTTTCAAATAGTTTCTTCACTTCGAAAAGGAATTAACATATGATTTTTCATCTGACATGATATATTCTTGAAATTTCCCAACAGGTTGATAAGAAAGCAAATAATCCTGCATGGGAAGCCATCGGCTACCACGTAGACATTAACGAAGAACACCCCAAAAAGGAGCAAAACAAGCGCCCTTTGCAGAAAGGAATGGTGGAGATCATGAAAGAAACCGATCAAACCCTTGTGCATTCTCTCCTTCAAAAAGGCCTGGATGTTACCGAAGAACTTAAAGAGAACATTTGCAGAATAAAATGCGATGTTGTAATTATTGGCTCTGGTTGTGGTGGTGGCGTTGCAGCTGCTATACTTGCAAAATCCGGGAAGAAAGTTGTGGTTCTTGAAAAAGGAAACTACTTTACTCAGACAGATTATTCAAAACTGGAAGGACCTTCTTTGGATCAACTCTATGAATCCGGAGGAATACTTCCCACACTCGATGGGAAAGTAATGATCCAAGCTGGATCAACAGTTGGAGGTGGTTCAGCAGTGAATTGGTCAGCTTGCATTAAGACACCACAATCCTTGCGAAAAGAATGGGCTGAAGAATACCACATTAAGTTATACGAGAGCCATGAGTATACTTCTGCAATGAACAAAGTGTGTGAAAGAATCGGTGTTACTGAAAAATGCACAAAAGAAGGGTTCCAGAATCAAGTTCTTCGTAAAGGGTGTCAGAATCTTGGCCTAAAAGTCGATTCTGTCCCACAGAACGCATCAGAGAATCATCACTGTGGGACTTGTTGTTATGGCTGCAGATCAGGAGACAAAAAGGGAACTGACTCGACTTGGTTGGTTGACGCAGTAGATCATGGAGCTGTGATCATAACCGGATGTAAAGCCAAGAAATTTATGGTAACAAGAAACCAAAACGGGAAGAAAAGAAGAAAGAAATGTTTAGGAGTAATTGCTCAAGTTTTAAACGATAAAATCTTGAAAAGATTGCACATCGAGGCAAAGGTGACAATTTCTGCATGTGGGTCTCTTTTAACGCCGCCTCTAATGATATCAAGTGGTCTGAAAAACCCTAATATTGGCCGGAATCTTCACCTCCATCCTGTTGCAATGGCATGGGGATACTTTCCAGAAGGTGAAACTGATGATCTCACTGGGAAAAGCTACGAAGGGGGGATATTGACATCTGTTCATAAACCAGGGTCCGATGAGACATACATCTTGGAAGTCCCAGCTTTAGGGCCCGGATGTTTCGCTGGTTTAACTCCTTGGGTTTCAGGGCAAGACTTAAAGGAAAGGATGCTGAAATACTCTCGAACAGCTCATGTGTTTTCATTGGTGAAAGACCGTGGATCTGGTGAAGTGACGTCAGCAGGAAGGATAAGTTATAAATTTAGCAAATTCGACAATGAAAACATCAAGAAAGGGTTGAGACAAGCGTTAAGGGTGTTGATTGCAGCTGGGGCTGTTGCAGTGGGTACCCAAAGAAGCGATGGACAGAGATTGAAATGCAAAGGGACAAGTAAAGAGGAGATCGAGGAGTTCTTGGAGACAGTAGATGCTGTACCTGGTCCGATGTCAATGGTGAAAGATTGGAATATTTATTGTTCGGCTCATCAAATGGGGAGTTGCAGAATGGGGAAAAGTGAGAAGGAAGGTGCAGTGGATGAGAATGGGGAGAGCTGGGAAGCGGAGGGACTTTATGTTTGTGATGCGAGTATTTTACCGAGTGCTGTTGGTGTGAATCCCATGATCACAATCCAATCAACTGCTTATTGCCTTGCGGAAAGAATTGCAGATATCTTTAGATAAATGGATGTATGAAGTCGATTAATGGAAGTGATTAAAAAAAATGGTTATTTACCACATTGTATAATGGTCATTAGCATTTTAGCTAATGTATTCATATAATGTTTTAGGATTACCTAGGGTAAAATGACCATTATACAGTTTGGTATATATGAAGTAATTGGTTCACGATCATAAATAACATGCTAGAAAATTACCCAAGGTCATGATATAAACCTATCTTGATGACATATCCATTTTCCCCTAATGTGAGCTCCACATGCCATTCATTAACGGTGGAAATGAACGAGCGCTAGCGTCATGGACTAGTGATGCAACAAATGAAAACTACAAGGAGCAGCCATGTCAAAAATCAAATAGTAGTACCAAATGTGTGAATTTGAGCTAACTACAAGGATCTGAAATTTACTCTTGATTTTATAAAGCAGTTTTAGTATTTTGAAAGAAAACTTTTTTGAAATATAAATCTCCGTTGAAAGGTTTAATTAACAACCACAATCCAGCAAAATTTACTAATTTAACAAAAAAATGGTTTCTAGTCAACGTTAATGAAGGTTTTGTCGCTATCGTGAACTTGTTTCCAATGATCGACAAGTCAATACGGAACAATGTAACATTCCTGTTACAATATTTAAACAAAATCCTATCTTTAAATTCTAGGGTCATATGATGAACAAGATTTGAAGATCAGTTTCTTTTCTTTTTCTTAACGATCTTTAGGATGAGTTATGATTTTTGATTCATCTTCTAATTAATAGATGGCATTTGTAGTTTTGATATAATAAATATCAAGAATAACAAGTTAAGACTAGCCCACTTGGCTAACATATATGTTCCTAATCTAACAATTACCTAGGAAATTGTGTGTTCAATTCCAGGAGAAAGGAGATATTGATCACCTCACCAAAATTTATCAACACCTTTAGGTTGATAGAAGTACATCCGTATAGGGATTTTTTTTTATATATTTTTTTAAATTTACACTGAATAACTACCTGTGGTGACTCCCGACGAATATTGGCGCCGCTAAAAGTAGGGCTACGTAGACAACATGTCGCCGCAATAGCTTCTGCCAACTTTGACCAAATTTCTTTGACCTGAATAACTATGTCGACGATATGTCGTCGCCACTAATTCGCCGATAACGATGAATTTTTTCGCGGTCTTCAAAAAACCTATGCCAACGACAAATCGTCGATATTTGTTAATGTAATCTTCATTTATTTTATTCCATGGTGTAGAAAATAGAAATAACCTAGTTTTCGAAAAAGCTATCCTGTCGACTTATCATTGACTTACCACATGACGACCCGCATGAAATATCTATCCCGACGACTTGTTGTAGGTACAAATTTATTATTATTAATTTTTTAGTTTCAACAAAAAAAACAAACATCGTTTATCCAAACCCTATATTGACGACAAGTCATCAGGGTAGGGTTTCACCATCCTGGTCATACGCGACCTTAGTTGTAGCGGCACACCTTTCCGTTTTCTCTCTCGATTCTGTCCGGCAATTTCGTTCTTTCGGCCATTCATTTCACCGATGACATTGGGTAACACCTCACCGTTTCCTATTCACTTTTCGATGCTTCCTTTTTTTTTCTTTTTGATTTGATTGATTCCGGTAACCACGATTCACATTTGCAACCACCAGCAACCACAAACTCCACCAGTGACCACCTCTTCCCTTCCTTCCGTCGTTGCAGGTAAGAAAGTTCCATTGTTTGGGCGTTTTTTTTCTAAGATGTTGCGTTTTTTGTTTTCGGTGACAACAGCCACCATCAGTGACCACTTCTTCCCTTCCATCCGTCGTTGCATGTAAGAAAGTTCCACTATTTAGGCGTTTGTTTGTTTTTTTTTTGAAATGCCGAGTTTTTTGTTTTCCGTTGACAACAGCCACCGCCGGAGACCACAATCTTTATCTACGCCCACGATCTTCATTTCCGTCATTGCCGGTAAGTAATTTTCATTCATTTTTTTATTTTGCTAATTTGAAGACTATTAAGCCATTAAGTGATTAATTAAGTTATAAAGTGTTAAATTGTGTATGTATGTTAGTGTAGTTATCATTTGTGTACGAAGATAAATATGTGAGTAAGTAGTTGTCATTTGTTTGTGTTAATTGTATGCTTATGTTAGTCATTAAGTGATAAAATTTTAAATTAATTAAGTTTTTAGTGATTAAGTGATAAAACACTTAAATTGTTTGTATTTATATGTATTATATGCATGATTTGTTTTTTTCCCCGATTTTGGAATTGGTTGTATAAAGTGTATAATATGTATGATTTTGGTATTAAGATGTTTGGAATGTATAATATGTATAATATGCATGATTTTGTTATTTTTTTGGTTTATTAGTTTAAGTACATATAATATGTTTGTTAATTGGATGCAAAATGTATATGTGCGATTATCTTAGTTGTTTAGGTTTATTAGTTTGGATGTATAAAATGTGTATGTATGATTGTCTTAGCTATTAACAGTACCATGCTATAATACAAAAATAAAAAACAAATTAATAAAATAAGACACTATAAATACTATAAATATGGAAAAGACATGAAAGAAAAATGATTTAATAAACAAAGTAATACTAGTACATTGCTATTAACATAACTACAAAGGTTATTAATAGTAACATACTTTTATTAGTTTGTTTATTAAAGCATTCTATTTTTATTTCTTGTTTATATTTATAATAGAAAACAAACTAATAAAAGTACGTTGTTATTAAAAGTATGATGCTATAATAGAATAAACAAAATAATATTTAAAGTACATTTCTATAATTGGAAAAAACAAAAACAAGATGCTATAATTCCTATAAATAAGAAAAAGAAGTACAAATAGAATGTTTTAATAAATAAACTAATAGAAGTACCTTGTTATTAAAGAAAACCTAACTACAAAAGGTTATGAATAGCAACATACTTTTATTAGTTTCTATATTAAAGCATTCTATTTTCATTTCTTTTTTATTTTATAATAAAAAAAATAATAATAAAAGTATGTTGCTATTAAAAGTATGATGTTATAATAGAAAACAAAAGTATGATGCTATATTTAAAAAAGTATGATGCTATAATTAACAAATAAAAGTATGACGTTATTAATAACAAAAGTATGAAAACAGGTTGAATCACTGATTTTTAGTTTAAGTCTCTTCTTTATAATCATCAAGTGCCCAGAAATACTCGTCCAAAATTGATTTAGAAATTAATTTCGGGTTGTCCCCATTTGAGAGTGCTTTTTGAATACTTTGTCTCATTTAGGATGTGAATGTGTATTGCATGATTGTTTGTTTAAGAGCACTTTGGGTTGTCATTTTCTCTTTGCTCATCCAATATATATTTCTTATATATTTGGGAGCTAAGGGGAAATGCTGCCGAATTTTTCTCAAACAAGCAATCCTGCAATAGACATTCACATATGAGATAAAATATTAACAAGTGGGTTTAGAAGCCTACCCTTGTGAATATTCTATACATTCCATCCGATTTTTACTTCTCGGGTATATATATTTCTTTATATATGGTGAATACTCTATCAACTCCGTCTGATTTTTACTTCTCGTAAAGTAAACTTTAAACACTAACTTGTGCACCTATAGCCAATATACAATCTAAGTTTCAATAACTATGTATAAAATGTAATTTTTAATAATGAAACAATAATGAAGATAGATAAGATTTGGATTGGTGAGAACAGAACGTCTCCAAAATTCTTGGAAGGTCTTAAAAACTTTATAGAGATTGCTGGGAAACATGTCGACTCTGAAGACAAACTGTGTTGCCCGTGCATACAATGTGTAGATATGTATCAACAGTTGTTGAGTACAGTTTATGCCCACATATATGACTGTGGGTTTCTACAATCGTATACTATATGACATCATCACGGTGAGAAACGTCCTGCTTCGGATTTAGGCTACAATTTGACTCCATGAATAAACACTCTAACAACTAATGAGATGTTTGATGTAATTGATGATTTTATGGTGGAAAATATTACAAATAAAGAAAATATATATGAGGAGGGATGAGGCATAGACCCGAAATTTGATGCTTTGTTTGAGGAGCTCAATACCGAGTTATACCTTGATTGTGATATCTCTTCCCTAAACTTTATAGCAATGTTGTTGCATATTAAAGTGATAAATAAATGGACATATAGTTTGTTTCTCCAACTTGTAGAGTTACTAAGAGTTGTTTTCCCGAAAACCAAGATTCCAACCTCACACTATGAAGCTAATAAATAGTTAAGAAAGATAAGGCTAGGATATCAACCCATCCATGCTTGAAAATATAATTGTGCTTAGTTTTGGAAGGAGAATGTTTCCATGCAGAATTTCCCGATCTGTAATGAGAGTAGATGGGTGGACACAAACTCAAAGGGGAAGAGAGCACCACAAAAAGTGTTGCGGTACTTTCCTTTGACTCCAAGGCTTCAACAAATGTATAGTTCCAAATTTACAAATAAAGATGTGAGTTGGCATAATACTGGACACTCATTGGATGGTATGATGCGTCATTCGGTTAATGGGAAGTCATGGCAATAATTTGATAAGAGATATCCAGAGTTTGCTAAAGAACCTAGAAATGTTCGTCTAGGTTTTGTTGTTGATGGATTTAATATGTTCAGAAACTTTAATAAAACTTATAATATTTGGCCAGTTATTGTAACATCTAGAAATCTTCAGTTTTGCTTTTGAAACCATAAAGTTCGTTTTTGTTGCACAAAAGGCCTCAGAAGTGAAAATCTCTAAGTGTTGGCCCTAATTGAGTACGCGGGGCGTACACCCTTGTACGCTTAGCGTAGTTGGTCTTAGATGAGTACGCTGCGCGTACGAGGCTCAGACCAAAAATCTAAGTGTTGGCCCTAATTAAGTACGATGCACGTACTCCACTCCCTCCCCTACCGTAGCCTCCATCTTCTCTCATGAGTCTCTTAGCAAACCCTAGTGAATATTACCCCTTTTTGGAGATTTTGAGTGTTAAAGTCTACTTTTGGTGGTGAAGTAGGTTGCTCAAGAAGGAAGCCTTGCCCTCAAGATTTTGGATCCAGCTTCTCATCTTCATTTTACTCCATTATAAGGTATAAAGCTCGAACCTTTGGTTGTATATAATTAGGTTCCA